AGGGTCTCTCAGCCGTCAGGGGGTTAACCCTGCCGTTGTTCGTCCCTGCCCCGTGGAGGCGGACCCTCTACTTTCTTCGTTTAACAGGTGATCTCTTCTTGTTCTGAATATCTGTTGATTCAGTTTATTAAATTTCTCAAAAATTTCTTCTTCCAATATTAGGTGTTCTTTGTTGTTTCTATATCTGTTTAATTCATGAAATCTACAATCTTCGTATGCTGTACATTCAAGTAGCATATGTTCTATGGTTTCTTCTGTTTCTTCTGAACTATTACACATTGGGCAAATGTTATCATTTTCACATCCTCATTTAAATAACGAGCTCTTTATTGGTCCATATCCGGTGATTATATAAACCGTTTCTCTCGTTGGTCTAAACCATGTAATGTCCTTAGCCGTGGATACATTCTTTATGAATTGGTAGGTAATTCTTCCTCTATTTTCGTTACTCCATCTATCTTGCCAAACAGCTTGCATCTCAGTTTTTATTTTTTCTTCTTCACAACTCATTTGTTCTTCTGTTAGTCCTGTTTCTAATTCCATAAATGTATAATTTTTCCAATTTGTTGTAATATTTCTTCTTACTCTGTAAATTAGTGCTTGTTTTACTATCTCCAAATCTAAAGGTATAGTGCCAGCTATAATCTGCATTGCAACCGTTGATGTTGTTCTACACGCTCTTGTAATAGGTAATAAAATCCCTCTTTGCATTGCTAGCAAATTTCGTTGCACATGAGTATGTTGCACGCAATCATACCATACCGAAGCACCATACTTTATGATTGGGAAAGCAACTGCTGTATATAATATTTTCAGAATGTGTCTTCAGTCCCCATTCCTCCTTCTCCTTATAGACATTATAAAATTGGTTACTTTGTTTCTCAAATATAATACTTAGAATGTTCAATAAAATTCATTCTTTCGTCTATTATTATTCCCAGATACTTTACTCTGGTGTGATATTTAATTTTTTCGTTACTTATTTTTATGATTGGCATTCTTTCTCTGTTAAAGTTTTGCTTTCATTAATATGGCTTGCGTTTTGGTAGTTGAAATTTTTAATTTGTGCAATGCACACCAGTTATTTAAAATTTTTAATGGCTTTTCTGCTATCGTTTCTAATTCCTTTCTTGAATTTCCTTTAATTACAATTGCCAAATCGTCTGCATATGCTATTGCTTCTAATTCTTCCTCCGTGACTTCGTTCTCAAGCCGCAGAAGGAGGGGGTCCATCATCGGTCCCGCTGTGTGGGGACATCCTTTTTGCATTTTGACTTTGGTTTTTCCTAATTTCGAAATAATGGTGACTTTTCTGTCCTTAAAATAGCTATTGATAATTTTAATCATTGTCGTGCTGCATTCAGCCTCTATTAATGGCTGTTTTATTCCGGGCCACCACAAGTTGTCAAAGGCGCCCTCGATATCAATAAATATTACTAGCACATATTTCCTTTCTGTAAATTTGACAGCATGTTTTAATTTTGTCAGAGCATTCTCTGTAGATTTTCCTTTTCTAAATCCAAATTGTCTATTGCTTTCTAATCCTTTTCCTATGTATTGGCGTTGAAGTCTGCTCACTACTATTCTCTCATAAATTTTACCCATGATCGGCAATAACGCTATAGGCCTATATGAGTTTAATAGGCTCTTATCTCTTGTTTTGTCTTTCAGAATTATCTTTAGGTTTGCTATCTTCCATTCTTTAGGAAATTTCCCTTTTCTGAAACAGTTGTCCAAAACAGTGCCAATCACTTTTGTTCTGCTCTTCCAGAGTTCACGAATAATTTCAATTTTAAAATTATCAATTCCAGGCGCTTTTCTGTTTTTACATTTCTTGATGGCAGAATCTATTTCCAGGAAACTTATTTCCTCTTCTAAATTACTGTTTCTATATTTTTTTAATTAAGTTTCTTATTTGCGTATGCTCATTTGTCTCATTTTCTCTGTTTTCTTTGGGCACACATTTTTTTAGCAGTGCATTTACAGTTTCCTGTAGGTCTTGGGTTCTTTCCCCGTTGCTCAATTTTAAAGACGACATGAATACCGGTTTGTTAATTTTTTCGCGTACTATTTTGTACACAATACTCCAAGGGTCTCTGTTTCCTTCTACTAGGACAAAGTTTTTCCATGACTCGCGTTTGCTCTTCCTAATTTCTGACACATATTTATTTCTATGGCGTTTATATGACTTGGTATATTCTTCTATTAGGTCCGAAAAGTTTAATCTCCGTGCTCTTATTAGTTGTTTTTTGACGTCATTTGCTAATTTTCTTAGGTTCTTTAAACTATTGTTCCACCATGGTACGATTTTAACTCCCTTTTTCCTTAATGGAATTGCCTCCTTGCAATTTTTGCCACCTTTCCCTGGGTGCAAATGGGGCAGCGACAGCGCACATATCCCACCTTGCCGCAGCCGTAGCACTTCAACGTTTCTTTCCTTTCTTGTCGTGGGTGTTGTTGGTTGCGTCTCCCCCTCGTCTCTTCTTGGGGTGGCCTCTCGCTCGGCTTTCTTGGACACGTCTTTATGGTATGGTCACGTCCCCTACAGTTCTGGCAACGTATCCTCGGTTCGCTTTCCTTTATGTCGCCCCTGTGCGTTGACCCTCGTTCCGCCGCAGTTTCCTCCTCCAGGGTTTCCAGCGTGCGAGCTTGGGCGATCAGTTCTTCGAAGCTTCCGAACACCCTCCGAGGTATTTTCTCGCGCAACTCCCTTCGCAACAACTCGTTGCTAGCATGTCTAGCTGTACCTCTTCCGGATGTGCGTGTGGTGATTCCGCGAGCAGCGCTCTTTTTTTTTTATATGAACACGTCTGTACGTTCGTCCACATTCTGTTCCTGTGCAAACAGCTCACTATATACCTGGTGAGCAGGTTTTCCGTTGCCTTCGCCTACGATGTCACTTGGCCTCGTACGCCGTGCCACCAGGTTGCAGCTTCTCCTTTCAGTAGGAGGGCGATGCCTTTAATTGCGTTCGCGTCTGGGATACCTTCTATTTCTTTGAAGATCGTGGTTGACGTTATAAATTCCTCCACCTTTGCCTGGCTCCTGCTTCCGTCGAACCGCGCCGGGTACTGGGCGAAGTTTCCCTGCTTCGCTGGTGCGGTTGCTAAGCCGGCCATGAGGCGGCTGAATTGCTCCTCGGACATTTGGAGCGCCATCCTATTTCTCGGACTCCTACGCCGTTCTCCGGGGGTTTTTGTTGTCGCTGTTTTTGCTGTCCCCTAGCCCTATGTTGGGCGCCACTGTAATCGTATCACTTTTTCCACACGGATAGTTTATTCAACACTTAACGCTTAGAGCGTACTAACAACAATAAGGATAATAGTTTATTGAAAAAAAAAGTCTCTTCGCCACACGACTGTACTTGTCACTTGTCACAAGCCGATGGTCGCGAGTTCGAAGGGGTGTTAGTGTCCGGTAAGGGTATGGAGCGAATGGTGGACAACGGACGCGGAGGGTAGAAGGACGTTCACCGAGCTGGATAGCCAGGCTGGATTAGAGCTTTCTTGGAAGCGGACTAGAGTGGGTAGGATAGCCAGTACCAGACTCTAGACACAATTGCCTACCTTTTTAGGAAAACAGGCCCTCTTTGTACATGTTCGAGCTTTTCGGCCGCTCAATCAGCACCCTCGGTACACCGAGCACGAGTTTTTATGCCTCGGTGTACCTGGGTTTGCACTATGCGCCGCAAATCTATCCTTTCCTTCGCCGCTGACCATCGCCCTGCCGCGCGCTATGGTCTTACACGGTACAAGACTTATATGAGATACTCTTTACCTTGGTTAAAACTTACATTCATTATAGTAGATAGGAGCTTACAGAGTTTTAATGTTAAGGGGCATTTCACATTTGAAAATTCTCATGAAATCGATTTTCTGATAGTATTATATCTATAAAAATATTCCCTGCGTATACTACATCGAAATCTCAAAAACTGACAAACCTATGACAGCGTAATCATTTTAATACGCGTAGAGATTTGGCGCGCATCAGAGGAAACAACTGCTTGTCATAGAGCCAGATCATAGCAGCATGACTTTTTTAATCGTGATCGTGATCCATGCTAAGGGCTCACTAATAGTCAGCGACATAAGTGTTCGTCTACCTACCGCACTCGGCGTATATACAGGTAAGTAAAAGAAAATACATGCATAACATTTGAATCAAAAATACAGAAATATATTTTTATTAACCTAGAATAAGATAACACTTGCAGAAATTCATAATTGTTATACAACAGAGAAAAATTGAACGGGATATCATAACTGCAGGCGAAAAGCGAAATTATTCGCTAATTATTAGGTTTAGGGCTAATAAAGATCAATATCATTTTATTCAGAATACAAAATTCTTCGATATTTTGGCATAAAAAGTATAGCATTGCATTTAGAAAAACGAAGTTGACCTTGAAATCTTCGAAACGCCTCCACCTATAATAAAAATACATGTGCCCCTCCGAACCATACAGCATTTCTATAAAAAATTTGTTCGTACAATGGATACTTTAGAAGTTATTCGGGGTGAACAAGTTGGGTGGACCACCCTGTACAATACATTCTTCTATGTAAGCGACAGGGTAATTCCAAAGCAGCAATCCAAATTTGAAATAATTGGATGAATCCGGGAATGCTTGATTCTTCTGTCTGAAAAAGAGGTATTAAACAAATTAAAATCTGCGTATCCTTTTTTAATAAATATATAGTTATAAACACTACAGTATTTTCAATAGACAATATATGCACAATACATACAATATATTTATTAGGTCGTAACATATGAAATGTCCGATTTTTAGCGGTAAGTTTAAATGATCATAACTTCTTTAATATTAAATTTTATTAATCAAAATAAGAACCATTACATTCCACACATTTTTTCCAATTAGTTAAAAGTTTTTGAATTCCATTTTTATAAAAATTCGAATGTCTGGTGACAATAAATTGTTTAAAGGCATTTTCGACAGTCTCTTGATTCATAAACGTTTTCTCGTTGAGGAAATGATTTAAGTGTTTGAAAAAATGATAATCAGTAGGCGACAGGTCAGGTGAATATGGTGGATGAAGCAGAGTTTCATATTTTAAGCTATTCTGCTTTTGCACCGTTACTTGTCAAACATGCGGTCGAGCATTATCATGAAGCAGAATTGGGCCCTTTCGATTGGCCAATGCCGGTTGTTTTACCCGCAATTTCTGGTGTATTGCTTCAATTTCGACACAATATTTCTCTGCATTAATTGTTTCACCCGTCCTTAAGAAATTATAGTGAATTACACCAGCCATTGACCACCATACTGTGATCATTATCTTCCTTGGATGCAAGACTGGCTTTGGCATATGTCGTGGGGATTCATCTGCATCCAACCATTGGGCAGAATGTCGCGGCGTTGTGAATCTGATGTACGTAAATACTGTAATAGGTGGCCACTGAAAGACTGAATGATATAAAACAAAAATAACTTTTACAAACACTTGTTTTTTAAATTTTTTATTATTTTATTTGGAAATATAATTAATGGATTTTTTTCAGTATTATGTGTGAAAAACAACATCCCTCAAATGACCACCATTTTCCTGCTCACAAGTACAAGCTCTTTCCACAGCATTTTCCATGACCGCACGTAAGGTTTTAGGTCCTAAACGTCGGATTTCGGCTCGAATGTTCTCCTTAAGTTCTTGAATTGTTCGAGGTTTATTTACGCAAACCCGTTCTTTCAAGTAGCTCCACAACAAGAAGTCTGGTGTCGTCAAATCAGGTGAACGCGGAGGCCAAACAAATTCAGCATTTTTTGAAATTATTCGTTCACCGAAAATTTCTGGCAGGAGGTAAAATTGTTTTATTTCCCTGGTTGAAAAAACAAGCTGTCAAATACGCTGCAATATTAACAATTTTCGCTCCACTATTTATATGTTTTGGGGCCATTTGCCAAATAACGGCATTATAACTTTCATTATTGTTTTGCGTATGACCCCCAACACATCTTTTTAATAAAGCTGGACTATTTAAATCTTCACAGATTGGCTTTATGGCTACTTGGACTTCCGGATGTAGTGGTGGTTTATGGATGTAACCATCGAGTTCGTTATTAGTTTTAGCGCATTGCCAATCACACCAACTATCAGAACATTCTGGACGAAACATATGTTGCGGATTTTCATCGGTCGAAATTTTGTGGAAATACGTGGCCCAGATTCCTTTTCTCATTTCCTCTTCGGAATCACTAGCTTCTTCGCCAAGCATTCCTACGGGTAGGATACTCGTACTTATAACATCTGCACTATGAATAAGACTTTTGTGTAGTGTTGCAGGCATAGGAAACCATGAATAGTTTGCAACATATATTTCAGCTGCATGTGAGCAAAATTTGTTAAATTCATGTGAATTTATTGGAAGATGAATGGATAAGGCGATTAAAATGGTTTGGAAATTCTTTAGCAGTTGACAATTTAAACCGAGATATTCAGCAAAAATTTCAGGATTTTCAAAAAATCTTCGAACCGTGTTACCATCGTTGGTAGTGCCAGAGTCTTCAGGTTTTGGCTTATCTACTATCAATCCCATCTTTTTCCGCAGAATATCTTGAACTTCCCGTTTTTTTTTTGCATGAAATTCAGTTTTGTTCTTGTCACCTTTCACTTGCCAAACTTTAAGTTTGATTCTATATGAAATGTAAAGGCAATGGACTTATTTCGTGTATAAGTGCGTTGGCATTTGGCAAAAAAGTGCCGTTTGTTTTATTATTTAAATCGTTAAAAGTTCGAGGTGTTGCGTGACAGATTGGACACGTTTGCATTGACTTCGTTCCAGTTATAATATTTAACACTTTTCAATCTGTTAAAGTTAGGAATAATGAGAAATAGATTTGTATACGGCGAGTATCATCTAATCCAACTTCCAACACTTGCAACTGATTAATTTGTTCCTCTATATTTATTTTCTGTCTGACACTGAGAATAAGAGATTCAGATTTGTCAGAAAGTACTCTAACTCGGAGTAGGATGGGCGTAAAATTAATTAAACGTGTCAACGTTTTTACAATGGTATATGTTATTAAAAGTCTATATCTGCGTTATCTGAGCGTCGTTCGCAAAAATGTACATAAGAGTGAGGACGCGTCGTCCTGCCGATCCCTGTCCACCCCTACGCGAACAGGCCCAAGGAAAAACCCAAAGGGGCGAGTCGTCCCTACCGAGCGTGCTGGGGGCCTGGCTTAAAGATGCTCGCTTCACCGTCTTCGGGACGGATTTTCTCACAGATTCTTTAATAGCATGAAGTTTTATCGGTCGGTAGGAAATTTACTTAATAGGCGAAGAGGAATGAGCGTTGTAGCAAATAAGTTGCTATCGCTTGGATTTGAATCAAGTTCATCAGACTTCGATTCATAGCGTTGTTTATACTCTGAATGGCCTGTACTTTCATCGAAACCCCAGGAATACAGTAACACAGCTTCGATTACTGTTGTACGGCGTCTGGGAAAATAACATATTCTTCTGTAGGGGATTTATGTGAGGAGGGATAGTAAACTCGAACGGACTTTGTTCTATACTATATTAATACTTTATATCGCTACGTGCTACGCTAAGGATGTCGCTCAATCAATCGCTGGATTCATACTGCCTTTCACTCCCTCGCATTCACCCTAATGTCATATTGCATACATGCACACTTTTCGATAGAAGAAAACACACACGCACTTACGCACTCCTCGCCTGATTACTAAAACTAAACATTCGTTCAATATCTTTCGCGCTATCCCAAACACTCGACCTGGCACGCCGGTCCTTACCGCTCCGGTCATAGACCCTCACGCATTCACACAGACAACGCATTCATACAAACAACGCACTCACGCTCGGTCATCCCTACACTTCTACGTCAAAGGGTCATTTTCGACTGCCCGTCCTCGGCCCGAGCCGTCACTCTTTTATTATTGTTTTACATATATCACATACATATATATGTACATACATTCTGGTTCGGCCCAGCTCGACGGCGAAGCCGGATCCTTTGCCTCTGCCCGTGTCAGGTGCATCCATGCCAAAGTGCACCTGTACCCCCATTATTTTGAATTAATGCAAAAATTCAACTCGGCATTGAATTTATGAGATTATTTATTATGGTAGTAGGAATCCCTTCCCAGCAACGTTTAATTTTTTCTTTTAGAGCGACAGTATTGGTGAATTGGCGGCCATTTGCATATATATTTCTGGCCATTATACCCCATAAGTTTTCAATGGGGTTCATGTCAGGACTACATAGCAGGCCATTGAATTAAAGGGATGTCCCGTGCCTTAAACCATTCGTGGGAATATTTTGAAACGTGGATTGCTGCGTTGTCCTGTTGAAATATAAATTCACGTTCGCCAACTGTATCTTCTAAAAATGGAATTAATGCTGCATCTAGCATGTCGACGTACTTTTCTGAATTTATTTTGCCGTCAATAAAACAAAGTTTCAGTTTTCCGTATGAAGAAAATGCTCCCCAAATCATGACACTTCCACCATGGAAATTTCTGCTTAGTTTAGGGTCATTTTTTTGACGTAAATCGTGCCAATAGGAACTGTATCCATCTGGACTGTCTAAATTGAATTTTTTCTCGTCCGAAAAAAATGACTGCCTTCCATTAATCAGTTCAGTGCATATGGTTTTTTGCATATTCCAGCCGAGCAACCTTATGACGTGCTTTCAACGTCAGCTTTTTCTGTGGTTTTGTAAAAACTACGTTTGGATTATTGTGCAAAATTTGTTGGACACGTCGCTTCGTGATTGATAATTGCATTTTTCCAACAATTTGACTTGCAACTAATCTATTTTTTGTAGCTTCATAGAGAATAATATTCTTTTTCCTTATAGATGTTCGAGGAATATTGTTTCTTGGTCACTAAGTGCATCCGTGGAATATTTTTGATCGTTAGCCGAAACCGTTGGGATAATCGCGATCCACATGATTGCTATGGTCGTCATAAGGATTGGAGCAATCACGAAATTGCTGCTAAGTTTGGTCATCTAAAATGGTCAACGAAGCTTGTTTGAATAGTTTGACGTTCGTTCTATGATGAACGGTTGGTTTTCAACGGTGAGTTCAATGCTGGAGGGGAGAGACCATTGGTGGTCCGCGGCTTCCTTCTGCAACAAAACTAATTTGTTGTTGTTTCATAGCTATAACACATCTTATTACAAGAAAAATAAACTTAGGATCCGATAAAACGAAATTGTTGTGTGGGATGCGTAGGTGAATCTTTTTTATTGCGTTCGATACCATCGGTCGTCATCGACTGGCCCGTGCCGGGAAGACTGCCCTCGGAATCGGTCTTCCAATCGTCGATTGTTTCCGAGGGCCGTCGAGTTCCGTTGGCGACGGTTGCCACGTCGGCACGCCTGGTGATACAATGTTGTGCACGTGCACGGGCCGCCACAGTTGCAGAAATTAATCTAATTAGCTGTATGTAGGCTCTCCTCTATTTTCAATTAACTCTATCATTCGACTGTGTACGTATACAGTGGATCACAAAATTATTCGCTCAGTCGATAATGCGGTAAAGATTAATAAAATAAACAGACAACAGAGGACTTTTTCAGACTTCTTTTAATGGATATACATTATTTACAGCTTAGTGTAACAAAATCATAAAAAAAAATGAAAAG